TAAGATATTAGTTAATGTTTACTTTAATGGCACACGAGATGAGATCGGGTTGATTAGAATGCTGATAGGAGCTTTTCCCGAAGGAAAATTACTGAAATTTTTGTACGGACGAAAATGCCAATAATATAGAGAGGGGGGAAAGACCACAAGAGTCATTTTTAACATCTTTGATTTCATTCTTTAAAGACCAATTATTTTTCTGTCCCCTGTGGGAAGGGGGAAAAAAAACTTCTTTCTTAATGGCAGAATCATTCTGAGACTTGTCTGATTCATTTTATATTTAGTAGATTACAGTTTTAGAGTCATCAGTCAGAAGGAACCCAGCCAACTGACAGACCTGAAATCATGTCCTTTGATTGTAATTGACAGGAAAAGCATTTAAGGTAAAGGGGAAAAATATTTTATTCATCTTTGATTACACTGTGATGTGATTTGGTGACATAATACAGCTGTGAACTGAAGCAAGAAAGGCAATAATTCCTACTTCAGGTTTTTGACATGATGTAGCCCTTTAGTCTTCTTCAAGCCTAAGCCTCCAGCTACAATAGGCCCCTTGATGGAGTCTAGACAAATAGATATACAGACTGTTGCCATTTAAAAAGCAAACAGCTTTAAAAAAGCATTTCTCAAGGCTGTGTATTTCAGACCTAAATGGCGGCACAATTTCCCATCCCCAACCCCCCAAATTATATTCAGTTAGCTCCCGCCCTCCAGAAACAACTTATTGGGCTGAGCTCCTTCACTTTAATCGGGTCTTAAAAGTAATCAAGAAAATGGTATTTGTTGCCATATTAAAAATATTCTCTCAAGAGGCTTTAAACATCTTGCAACTAATTCATATGCAGGAGACATTTATTTCCAGTATCATACTGCCTGGACAGCTATCATAGCTTTTCTCTTTCTTCCCTGCCTTGGTATCATTTTGATCTCAATAGGTCCATTTTCTATTAGTATAATAACTTTCAGGTGGCATTTTCTTCTCAATTGCCTATTCAGCATGTAGGGTGGTGGTGAAGGGGGACGGTGACTTCAGCTTCCATCAGCCCCAACCAGCATGGCCAGTGGTCAGTGGTAATGAGAGTTGTAGCCCAATAACATCTGGAGGGCTGTGGATAGCCTATTCCTGATGGTAAATCATCAGCTTTGGGTGAAACCTGTGCTTTAGAAATATGAGAGGCGAATTTTTTCCAGTGAGTGACACAAGTTGAATGTAGATGTACCAGAGGTGAAAAATAGCTTAGTTAAATCAATTGAGAGACAGAGGTGAGATCTCCATTGGTTGTTAAGAAGTCAAGCCAACGATCATCACCTTCAATAGCAATTTCTTAACTCATTGCATTGCTCTGGAGTTATTTGGAAAAGAGTCCCGATATAATAAGGGTCTCTTGTTTTGGGTAAGGGATGGATGGTTTCAGACAGGGCTGGATTTTTATTAAAATCTTAGTGCTGAACTTATCCACATGGGATTTTGTTTTCTTATTCCCTTCTCACTCCTTGATCTGTACAGGAAGTGACTTACATCTCACTAAAAATACAAACAATGCATGACTCTTTCATATGTATTATATGCACAATATACATCTTCCTTTGTATGTTATTTTGCATATAATTACTCGGGGTTCTTTTTTTTAAATGACAATGCACAAAACATAAAACTGCCAATGCAAGAGGTCATCCAGTGCAAAGAAAACCCAATTGTATCTGAATCAAGCTACAAATCCTTTTTAAATGGATTCCTTTCCCACCCTAGTTTGAGGATTAGTTCTTCAGGTAGAGCAGTTTTTAAAGTCTCCAGTCTATTTCACAAATATATTTATCCAAATCCAAGAAATCAATTTCCGAAAGATTTGGGCCCAGAACCAGGACATCATCTGGGAGAAGCTGCATATATTTCCTATTGTCACTGTTCTTTCATATATTTTCTGGAGTGTGTTACCTATGCTTTTTGGTGCATGATGTCAAAACTGCAGTATGAAGCATGTAGTATTTTTGATTATACCATTAGGTGATGGGAATTTACATGAAAGGGTTTTAAAGAAATCATTGAAGCAACATAACAATACCAGGTGACTATTGCAATAGTAAAAAAAAAGTCCATGAACTTCCAATATTAAAGTACATAACAATCCATGGTGGGGTTTTGGGTTGGTGGAAGAAGGCAACTAAAATTCACCCCTTATTCATGATATACTAGGCATCCTAGGTGATGTGAAGATGTACCTAGGGTGGGAAAGAAATTAGTTTGCTGGAAGGAATAAGTTATTATTGCTGGCATTTCTCCTTTATTCCCTCATTTTTATTTTTTTAAAATGCCCATACACAACAGTAGAAGGGACATGGGTGGTGCTGTGGGTTAAACCACAGAGCCTTGGACTTGCCGATCAGAAGGTTGGCGGTTCGAATCCCTGTGACAGGGTGAGCTCCCATTGTTCGGTCCCTGCTCCTGCCAACCTAGCAGTTCGAAAGCATGTCAAAGTGCAAGTAGATAAATAGGTACCGCTCAGCCGGGAAGATAAACGGCGTTTCTGTGCACTACTCTGGTTTGGTAGAAATGGCTTAGTTATGCTGGCCACATGACCCGGAAGCTGTACGCCGGCTCCCTCGGCCAATAAACGAGATGAGCACCACAACCCCAGAGTCGGTCACGACTGGACCTAATAGTCAGAGGTCCCTTTACCTTTACCTTTTACACAACAGTATAGCTAATAATCATGCATTTACCATACAAGAGGTCAAATGAAACAGCATTTGTTTGAAGCCAATTCTCTTGCCATTTAGGCTAGTCATTTGTTTCTAGGGGCACAATGCACCCACATGCTAGTGCTCAGATTATGGAGGGAAAGTTAGACAAAGACCTTAATGAAATCTACAAGTCTCTCATCTCAATTTCCTTGTCCCTCTTGTAATTCAAACACTGGAATGAATGGGAACCGAAGAAGAATATTTCAGTGGGGAGAACTTGGTGGATCGTGCCCATAGTTGTAATAATTATGAGTAAAGGCTTTATAAGATACTTTATAAGTGTGGGGCCTAATGCAGAATCTGTCTAGAGCAAGTACTCTGCAGGGTAGGGTGCAGGCTAGTCAGCATTTATCATTTAGCTTTGCTGTTCATGATATATTTGCAGGAAACTCAAGTGAAATAAATGGCAACAATCCTTCATAGTATGCTATAAATGGATATCTAGCATTTATTTTTTATCATGACAAATTTCAGCTCTAGTACAACTGAACCAAATCCAGTGTGGTGTAGTGGTTAAGAGCGGTAGTCTCGTAATCTGGTGAACCGGGTTCGATTCCCCGCTCCTCCACATGCAGCTGCTGGGTGACCTTGGGCCAGTCACACTGCTTTGAAGTCTCTCAGCCCCACTCACCTCACAGAGTGTTTGTTGTGGGGGAGGAAGGGAAAGGAGAATGTTAGCCACTTTGAGACTCCTGAAGGGGAGTGAAAGGCGGGATATCAAATCCAAACTCTTTTTCTTCTTCTTCATACACAATGAATCCTAAGCAGTGTTATCCAAAAGGGTCCATGGAGGGGGAAATCCTATTTATGGACTGCCTAATCCAAAGCTTTGCCAGACTCATGCCAACAGGATAGAAGGTGTGTGTGTGTGTGTGTGTGTGTGTGAGAGAGAGAGAGAGAGAGAGAGAGAGAGAGAGAGAGAGAGAGAGAGAGTTACCGGTAGTTAGTGTTTCTCTCTGTTTTTGTATCTGAGGGGGTAATATTTTTCGGACCAGAGATGTATTTTCCATGCCATTGGTTGCAATGGGAGAAAAAACCCAGTACTTCAAAAGAAAATCAGTACAGAAACTCAAAGCCATATGGGAGATCTGCTTTATCCTATGGTCCCTTCATGCCTTCCCAGGGTCTGTAAGATTGCTCCCTAAGACTGCTTGCCTGGGAGTAAGACCCATTCAGCTCAGTAGAATTTACTTCTCATGCCTAAGCTTGCACAGTACACTGTGTTGCATATTTAACTTTTAGATTTAGTCCAATACCAGATCAAGTTGCTTCAATTACCTAACACTGAATGCATGGGCAGTTGCAAATTTCATATGCTACCAAGCTATGGAAGCCGTGAGTTAAATATTATTATTCATTAGCTAATAAAAACCACTCTTTTCCTTGAGAAGAAGCAATTCTTATTTAAAATAAAATATTAAATGTAGACTTGGAATCCCCAGGAATATGCATGGTGAAATATGTTAACCCTCTCTCTTAGAAGCTATTATTTTTATTTTTATGTTGGGGGGAGGGACACACCTGTCCCACCTTTCAGCCCCAGAAGGGCAAGTCAAATGCCTTTTTATGCCCTTACAAGTAGACAGTATTTTTCATGGGTCTGAAAAGCAGCATGGAAAGGATTTCACATCATCTCCCAGTTTGAAGATGCATTTCTACAAGTAATAGGAGAGTAAGTGCTTTTGAACTCAATGGGGCTTACTTCTGATGGGGCACCAAAGGTAACTTGCCCTTTGGGATACTTCTTTGGGTTGTGATGAGAGTGAGAGCACTCCCCCTGTTTGCTTGGTCCTAAGTGAGAGATTGGAGGGGAGGATGTGAGTTAATTTGGCTTCTGTGTGCTATGGAGTCGTGTCTGTAGTGAGAGCATCATTGGAAGACCATGAATCCAGAGTGACTTGGTGCTTCAGATGATTTTGCTATTTCATGCTATTTATTTATTTTACTTTTGTATTTGTTTTTATTGTGCTTTTCCTTTATATTCATATTCTGTCCACTGCTTCGGGGACCTTTGGGCTGAACAGCAGTAGGTCTAGAAAGGAACCAACTATTACTATAGACATGTAGAGGGCTGCACAGACGAAACACATTTTTAAAAGTGCTTCTTATGAGGTCAAACTTTATCTATAGTCTCTAAGGAAAAATCAGACTTTATATTCTAAAGTCTCTCTTTTCCTCAAAAGGATAACCCCTTAAAATAAATTTAATGAGGTCAGATGCAAATTTTTTATGCAAACCTTTTCCTGACTTCATCCCAGGAGGGGGAGAAAAAGGGAAACCCTGGTCAGCATTGCCATCAGAACATCTCAAAACTTCAAGAAGACCTCCATCTGGTATGTCAGCACCTTTTATTTTAATCTCTTTACTGCACTCCTGAGTGGGTTTATTTTTTCTGAATCCATTTAAATGTTGCCATCTGTCACCCTGTTCCATGTTTACAACATAATGGAATCCCTTCTGGATTTCTACTCCTATTTCTAATATTGAAGTCCTCGCTGAGGAGATAGCTTACAGTGCAACCCTATGTATGTTTCCTCAGAAGAAAGTCCCACTATGTTCAATGCTGTTTGCTTACTCCCATGTTCAGAATTGCAACCTTAAGCAGCCCTTAAGGTATGGATAGGGAACCTGTGGCTCTCCAGATGCTTCTGACTACAACTCCCACCATCCTTGGCCATTGGCTGTGATGGCTTGACCTGATTGGAGTTAAGAGTCTAAAAATATCTGGAGTTCCTCAGTCCATACGTCCCCCCACTGCTTAAGAGGAGCAAAAAGCCTAGCGGTTATAGTTTGGCTTTAAAACTCTCAGCTGGTTGACATGTACATGATGATTCAAGACCTGAATTCTGTTCAGACATTCGAACCTGATGGCTCAGCACCAGACTTTCACACAGTCAAGCATCTTGTTTGCACAAAGCCTATGCACAATGCCTATTGTCACAATCTTGTTGCTGAGCAACCATGTGCAGAGCTCAGTGGGGTGGGAGGCCAGCCAACCAGAAGAGTCTCTGAGCTGTACTTGCCTGGATGCTGAGTCAGCATCCAAAGTCAGGTCCAATCCAAGGGTTGGGCAAACAGCAATCTGCATGGTTAGACTGCCAGGAGTCAGGGAATCCGATGATCATAGGGTCAAGGGTCAAGACAAGCAGGAAGCAGCAAGGCAGGACCAGGAACTACAAGCACTGTTACCGTTAACTGCCGCCTCCTGGAAGCTCTGCTTAAGAAGGCTGAAGCCAGCTGGTTCTCATCAGTGCCTTCTCCTCTGTGTCCTTGAAAGCTGATCAGCTGCAGGTAGAGTCACTCCTTCTTCTCCCCCTTCAGGCTGCTGTTCAGCAGGCGAAGCTGACTTTTGGTCCATGACACTTATTCTCAAAGTATACAATACTGATTGAATGTACAAGAAATACCCTGTCCACATTTGGCTATATGTACATAGGGACTGGGAAAAGAAAATGTTTAAACAGGTTCTGGGGCTAGTGGTTAAAATGTCCCCTCCATGCATTCTATCCTATTCTGTGTTAAAGCCTGAACAGGCTTTGAATATTCTTGAATGAAAGTATAACCTGTCTCATTAAATTGATGTCACTGATATGACTGTTCTACCTGCAATAATTAACACGTTCCTTTGTTCAAACCCTCATTTGATGCTACTGCTGTCAGTTAAAGATAAACATGCGTGTGAAAACTAACTGGTGGCACAAAATTACTCTTCCAAAGTTTACCTACGTTACAGGGAGAGGAATCAGAAGACAGATCCAGGTCCTTGTCGATCACTCACAAAGTTGTACTACAACCACCATTGGCAAACTAGTGCCTTCCAGATGTTTTGGACTACAATTCTAAGAGGCTGGATCTGAGTAGGGTTGAAAAATACATCTGGATTTTCCTTGACATACATGTAATACTATGGGTGGAAGCAGTATCTGGGAGGAAATGGAAAGCAAAATGTCCGGGAAAATCCGGACGTATGGCAACCCATGTCAGCAGTGTTGTTTTTGCCAATTTTCCTTAAAAATAGCTCAAAAATGTCTTTTTGTGATTTTGCCCCCCCAAAAAGCCCAGCAACCCTAGCTGATGGGAGGGATAATCCAAAACTTTTTGCAGACCACCAGGTTGGCAAAAGCTGCATTACATTAGCAATTATACCATGTACACCTTTTCTGATAACCAAGGCAGAACAAATGGATGAATTTGAGTAAGCAGTATATCTGCCTGGCTATATATTTTTGCTACTAGTGATTTCTGTTACATGTGCAACATCCAGGTTGGCGTAGTGATTATAAACTACTTCTCCGCAGATGAAAGGTAAGTTATAGCTACTGCAACATTATTGCTAAAATTACCATTTGAATGATAAGCAATTTGGGGAGTAATTATAGTGCACACACTACATTCAATGCATTCTGATATATGGATAATTACTCCTGGTAATATGCTTTAGTTAGATATTACAACAACAATAACAATTTATTGCAAAATTAATTCCTTGGCACAATTTAACATTTATTAACAGGAAGTCAAAGTGACTTGGTTTATCGGGGGCCACTTGTAAGTTGCTTTCCCCTGTTCATGTGCTAATTGGTTATTATAGGTCGTTTTAATATTTTTTTAGTTTAAATTAATTTGGTTTCAAGGTGCATTTGTGGGTTTTTTATAAAGAAGACATGATATTTACAACTCATGTGGTTTTATTTAGGTAAAAAAATAGTAAGGTAATGCAATCATCTTTGGTAATAGAATGATGGATGAATGGAAAACATTTTTTTTTTTAAATCAGGTCAATGGTACTGATGATTAGTGCATTGTTAATCAAGTTCTTCAGATTGCCATCAAAAGCTTTATCTCTTTCACTCAGACTGGTGAGAGGATCATGAATATTAAAGAGATTCAAATCGATCTGCACTCATATAATATGGAGCACTACAAATGAAAAGGATAAATGAACCCAGGCTGTGACTCTGTGTACAGCTATATCTTTTAACTAGATGGCAAACCCTAATCAATTTCTGGACTGATATTAGTCTTCATACGCAGCAAGTCCATGGAGATAAACTTTTTTTTTAATGCTCTGTGTATTTTTTGGATGAACTACTTAGTTTAAATTGTACACCTTAATTCCAAGTACATTTACTTGGGGGGGGGGAAGATCTGCTAAACTCAATGAGGTTTAATTTCTTGAGTCACCTACTGTAATCTGGGCCTTCTTCTGGTACTGGTCCAGACCAAAAGAAAAAGAAAATAACTCAAGCTTGTTGTTACTATGCTGTGCAAGCTCAGATCCCATTTCTTTGCTGCAGTCAAAAGCAACAGTTCAGTGAAGATCGCAAAGAATATAAGGATAACTAAGACGTGATAGGGGACACGGGTGGCACTGTGGGTTAAACCACAGAGCCTAGGACTTGCTGATCAGAAGGTTGGCGGTTTGAATCCCCACGACGGGTTGAGCTCCCGTTGCTCCATCCCTGCTCCTGCCAACCTAGCAGTTCAAAAGCATGTCAAAGTGCAAGTAGATAAATAGGTACCACTCCGGCGGGAAGGTAAACAGCGTTTCCATGTGCTGCTCTGGCTCTCCAGAAGCAGCTTAGTCATGCTGGCCACATGACCCGGAAGCTATACGCCAGCTCCCTCGGCCAATAAAGCGAGATGAATGCCGCAACCCCAGAGTCGCTAACGACTGGACCTAATGGTCAGGGGTCCCTTTACCTTTATCTAAGACATGATATATGATTTACAAGGGAAATAAGCAACAATAAAGGTCACATGGCTCTGTTTGACAACTGAGTTGAGTGCTTGGGTAGTGTGATCCTATATGTGTTTACTCAGAGTTAGGTCCGGATGTGTACAATGGGGTTTTCCATCAGGTAGGTTTGCATAAGATTATGGCCTAAGAGTCTCATTGCCAAGCTGCTTGGGAGCAGGAGACTTAAAAGAACATCAGGCCTCTTAATATATGCAATCAAACAATGTACTCTGTAGGAGAGAGCCTCCTGAAGAAAGCAGGAGGGCCATCCCATATAATATAGGAATTGGGCTTTTAGTGTGCTGGCACCTAGCCTTTGGAATCCCCTCCCATTACTTGTTGAGCAGATTCCATCTCATGTGTTTTCAGCACCAGCTGAATACCTTCATATGATGAGTCTGGTGGATCAAGCCAACGGCCCATCTACTTCACCATCCTGTGCTCATCGTGGCCAACCAGGTGCCTGTGGGAAGCCTGCACATAAGTACAACAGAATTCTGTCTGCCTGCAGTTCCCAGCAACTGGCATTAGGAGGCGTAATGCCTCTGAAAATAGAGGCAGAACATAGCTATCAAGGCTTCCTTTTTCAACAAGCCTTTTAAGTGGAGATCCTACTCTTTATCCCAATGTGTATTGGAGCTATTTTCAAACTTCATTTGTATATGGGATTGTTATAATTGTTTTATTTGTGGAACTGTTCTTAATTATCTTTATAATTTCCTTTTTGGTTGTTACTCCTTCGTTCATTTTATGATTGGATATTTCATGGTTGTAATCTGCCCTTAAACCTTATGGTAGAGGATGGGTAAGAAATTTAATTATCATTATTATTTAAATAATTTAAAAAAACTTCTGCCCTGACCCTCACCACTTTGTGACCTGGGATGGATCTACACACCGGAAAAAAATTCTCTATAAATAAGTCATAAATTAAATTGTTATAACAAAGAAAAAACCCTATGTAAAATTGCATAGAAAAGTTTTGTGCTCTACAGCGCCATCTGTTGTTGCATAGTTATAACGCACTTAAAGCACTTTAAAAACAAGCAAAGTAATATAGCTGAGTCCCATGTCTGAGACTATGCCAGTGTTGTTCCTTTCTAGCTGTGTTCATGAACAGGAATGACAATTCAGGCTGTTACTATTAATAAAAAAAATTATTTTGACCATAGTTCTCAACCTGAAGTGTTCCTAAACATAACAATGTTGCAGCATCAGAATCTCCCTTATATAGAACAAGGTCCATCTGATACAGCATTGTCAACACTGACAGGCTGTGGTTCTCCAACAGGTCAGTAATGAGAGCAGATGAGATTCCTTGGGGCATGTAGAGTTAGCTGGTTATACTAGTTCTTCTGTGATAACTATGTTGCAATGTTACAAATGAAACGCATACCTCTTTGCTACAAAACAGTGGGTTAGATCCAAATTGAGTCATTATTAAGTCTCATTGAAACACACTTGAATTGGTCGCTGTTTGGATTGCTCTGTTAGTCTGGATCCAAGCCATTAAGAACATAGGAAGAGCCTGAATGGATCAGACCAATGGCCATCTTGTCCAGTATTTTGTTTGTTTGACCAACCAGATGCCTG